TCACTGTTTGCTGCTTATTTGCTTAGGTTAATTTTGGTTTTCTTCCCCACCTAACTCTGCTCTTCTGTTTCTCATTACTGTTTCTGGGTCTGCATCTCCTCAAAGATCAACCTATCACTGCGCTTGTTTCTCTCCATTACCATCTTCTTCCACTGTTCTGGTTCGGCCAGACATGGGAGATCTTCCGGCCTGAGTTGTAGTTACCAAAATATGGAGTTGCTGCTGCAGTTTGCTCTCTTCTTTTGTGTAATCATCAGTGCTTTGTCAGATGATGGATCTAGAGGTATAATTGGTTTTCCATTTCAGTACTCTACACTACTTTCCTTGCACTGAAATGGGTTTTCATCGTTTTTCTTCTAAATTTGTGAATGGGAGTTAATTTGAAGATCTGGGTTTGTTTTTTCTTCCCAATCATAGTCTAAACGAAGGGTTTTTCAGGGTTTGAGAATCTGCATTTGATGATCGCTTCTTATATCGCTGTGAAGTTTTCATAACCAAATTGCTGGTGGAAATTTGGAATTCTAGTTTGGGTCATGTTGTTAGTATGTCTATGATTTATATGGAATCTATGGTAGCTTTTACTTTGCTTGTTAATCTGCCATCACCTTTGATTTCTATTATGACTAATCTTTGCTTTCTTCTGTCTTGTTTGGTGGTGTTTGTGATAACCCAAAAAAATGGGCACCTTTTCCCGAGCTCCATGATAAACCGACACCCAATTGTTTGTGGAAGGAGTGAGTGAATTTTTCGGAACCAACAAGTTTAATTGCTCCAATCATATCTTATGTCCACTTCAATTTTGTCACCTCCACTTGTCTCCTTTTTCCTGTATAAAGACTGAAATTTCCATCACTTACCTTTTCAAGACTTTTACCCTCTTTGTTTCCTAAACTATGTTTTCTCCTACTTTTCTTTTATACTTATGTTGTATTCTATTTTTCCTCATTAACCTTCAGCCTGTCTCCTATGAGGTAACAATATGAAGAAAACCAGAACCTACTTAATGGTAGATGTTAGTGTATGGATTTCTAGTATTAATGTAATCTAAGTTGAAATCCTTTCTTCACTTGCCGTATATAAACTAAACTGATGTTTGACTTTAATGATTATATAAAGAGTTCATCCAGCTAAATTTTCACCCTCATGGAATTCGAACTAATGTTCGTATCATTAACTGATGACAGAATATGGACACATACTTTAAAAAAATAGTAATTGAAGAGGAAAAATTCCTTTTTTTCCTTCTCTTCTAAGCTATTGAAGTGAATAATTCTCTTCATTCTGTTTCTAATCATCGAGATGTTTGTCCTCTTATTTGGATATTTTGGTTGTGCTAGTGTTTCCTGACGAACAATATTAGATTCTCATACAAAATTATATGATATTTAAAATGCCCTCAGCAGCCTTACTTTGGAATGATCTATCGCTATATTTCTATACATTTTCGCTACAAATAGGTGTATCAAGTCCATTCAGCCTTGAAATTCTGTCATTACCCTTTTTCCTGAAGAAGATTGTTGAGAACTACTCTGGCAAGAGATTGACTCCTGCTAATCCTACCTTTTTGTTTTCCCCAATATGGAATTCTCAAATTAGTTTGTTAATCGCACTGCTAAAAGGCTAGTAATGCTTAAAAGTTTTGTTTTGTGTTTTTCTCTATTTTCTTTATTTTGATCTAATAGTGATGTAACAGTTGTAGCAGAACCATGGAGTTTCTCATGGAAATCATCTTCTGTCCAACCCATCCGCCCTGGACAACCACCACAAGTTCTACCAGGTAAACTTTGAAAAACGTTCCTCCATATTGACCATCAATCAGATTGCACATCTCTAGTTGCATGAGAGCTTGCTGATCTTCTTAAGTGCCACTACCTTTATCCTTTCAAAACTTTTAGACCATTGACATACACATTTCCTTGCTCTTAAAAATTTAAGGCTAAGGAATCTACTCACACAATTCTTTTCATCACAATTGGTTATCTAATATTCTCAAACTGAATGTTGTTTCATCTGTTTCCATGTGATGCTTAGACTCTGCCTTCTCTCCAATTCGACCCCCTCCCAGCTCTGGCTGGACCTGGCATGGAAATATATTTCCTACTTCTCCAAAGAGGGAATCATACTTCCCATCATCAGTGGACAAATTTCCAGCTAAAGGTAAAGGCTTCATATGGTGATGAAATTAGAAAATCCTAAAATCTTTTTAGTGTTCTCTAGAAAATTATCTTGTTTGTACTCTTGATTATCTCAGAATTATGCAACTCTTACATTCTTTTGTAAAAAAGACTTGCATAAATACATATGAATTTAGGAAATAAAAGTTAGAAAAATTTTTCATGTACCAAATGAGATTTAAGTTTCGTGCCAAGACCTACAAACAAGATCTTCTTTTGTTGTAGCCTTCCACCCACATCGTGCCACAAGGCCGTCAAGTATCGCCCTCGCACCTTCTACTACATCTTCTGTGGCTCCTACAAAGAAACAGCTCCGTGGTCCTGTCTCTTCACCCCCGGTCTTAGTTCATAAACAGCATGCTGCAAAGAACAAGTCCAGGAGTTCTGCTTCTGCACCATCTTATCTGACTCCACATATTTACCGGCACCGAGGTTTGCCTCATCATTGTTCCTATGCTCTTAACCTCAAAGTCATGATACCTTCTCTAATGCTTCAATATCCACAGGTTCAGTTTCCCCTTCTCAACCTCCTTTTCCAATGTGGGGTGCGCCTGCACCAATGTCATCACCAACTGAATCTAGTCAATTTAACAGTATGGAACAACCGGTATTTATGTGTTTTACTTATTCTAAGAGTCCTTACTGATTACAAATAATTGTTATGTTTAATTTTATGTATGTTACTAGTGCCAATTCTTCCTCCTACAATTTCTCCTTTGGCTTCTTCTTCCCTAAAGAAGATGAAGGCGCCACCACCATTACTAATTATGAGTCTGCCACCTCCACCGCCTAATGAAGGTACATATTTATTATTTACAAATCTAGAATTTATGTAGCATGCACAATTTTTATTTAATATACTGGTTAACTTTTCATGGTGAAGAAGAATAATTGTAAATAATCCTACTTGTAGATTGTGCATCGGTGGCATGCACAGAGCCACTAACATATACACCTCCTGGGTCTCCATGTGGCTGTGTGTGGCCTATTCAAGTTAAAATCCGCCTTGGAGTTGCAATATATGCATTCTTCCCTTTGGTTTCGGAGCTGGCTAATGAAATTGCATCTAGTGTTGAACTGAACCACAGCCAAGTTCGGATTATGGGAGCAAATGCAGCAGGTCAGCAGCTAGAAGGAAGCACAGTCCTCATTAACCTTGTACCAAGAGGGGTGAAATTTGATGATGCTACTGCATTTTTAATTTACAAGAAATTTTGGCATGGGGACGTTTTCATCAGGTCTTCCCTTTTTGGCGCCTATGAAGTTGTATATGTCCGCTATCCAGGTTACAGAAGTGTTTTTGTTACAATAATTTGTCTACAGAAATTGTTGCCTGGTTCTTTCCTGACTTTCATTTATTCTTAATTGCCTCATATAGGTCTTCCCCCATCTCCACCTTCAGTTCCATCAAGCATTTCTACTACAGATGAAGGGCCCAACCATGGCCAGACCATTGGTGGGCAAGCAATAAAACCTTTAGGAGTTGATGTGTCAAGGAGAAAAAGAGACAGGCTTAGTGGAAGTATGATTGCTGTGATTGTGCTGTCTTCTTTCACTAGCTTTCTTTTATGTTTGGGGATTGCTACCCTTCTTTATTTTAAATTTCGAGCTTGTTCTGTTCAAGATGACCAAATTCCACAGAGTTTAGTATCCTTCCCTGCAAAACCATCAGGTAAGCTAATTTCCATTCAATTAAAAGGCGCTTTGCTACTTCTAATCTATTCTGTTTATGTTTTTACAAACTTGGTTTTTACATTGATCTGTGCAGTAAAGGACACTTGGTTTCAGGTACTGTGATAATGGTGGCTAGTTGCTTTTCCTTTTGCATTTCAAAAAGTTATAAGATATCCCATGTAATTCCAAACAAAGTTTCCAGCTCAAGTGAATGTTTTATCCAGAACTATATCCCACCGCCAAACTTTTGTCATTATACCTGTTTCTGTTTTGTCTTCGTTTCCGTTTCTCTTGCCACACCAATATTTAAGATTATCATCGTTCTTCACAATATCAGTCATATTTGTTCTTTGATCTTTAAGTTTATGCAGAATTTACTTTTGTGCTAAACAACTGTCCAAATTCAGCAGGAGCTGGTAGGTCTCTGACACATGGAAGCATGTCCAGCTCGGCGTCAATGTCTTGCAGTTCTGGTACATTGGCATATACAGGAACAGCTAAGACCTTCACCATAAATGATATAGAAAGAGCCACCAATAACTTTGATGCCTCAAGGAAAATAGGAGAGGGAGGTTTTGGAATTGTCTACCGAGCAATTCTAGATGATGGAAGAGAGGTGGCCGTGAAGGTTCTTAAGAGAGAAGATCATCATGGAGGCCGGGAGTTCTTGGCAGAAATTGAGATGCTTAGCCGTCTGCATCACAGAAATTTAGTTAAACTGATTGGTATTTGCACAGAACATACTCGTTGCCTAGTCTATGAACTTGTCCCCAATGGAAGTGTGGACTCTCATTTACATGGTATACTCAAGTAAATATGAGAAGAGAAAAGAAATAAAGTTATTGTCCTCACTTACTCCTTGTTTTTGAATTTCACCTGTATGCTTTCAGGTGTTGACAAAAAGACTGGTCCACTTGACTGGAGTGCTCGAATGAAAATTGCCCTTGGTGCAGCTCGAGGCTTGGCCTATTTGCATGAAGACTCGAGCCCCCGAGTTATCCATCGGGATTTTAAATCCAGCAATATCTTGTTAGAAAACGATTTTACACCTAAAGTTTCAGATTTTGGATTGGCTAGAACTGCATTGGATGAAGGAAACAAACACATCTCAACACACGTAATGGGAACTTTTGGGTACGAACTTCTCTATCAACATACTTAAGGAAAAGAAACTCTTTGGATATGATCGTGATTAATAACCTAAATGAACTTGTTGAGACACCTCTATCCCTTTGGAGCACAAGTAAATGCTCCAGTTGAACAATACCTCACTAACATTATATAGATTCAGGTTCTTTTTATGTGGATGCTTCTTTGTTCTTTTGGCTTTCTTCAATTTAAGCATTGTTCTAATCAAATTTCTTACTTTAACAGCTATTTAGCTCCAGAATATGCAATGACTGGCCATCTTCTAGTGAAAAGTGATGTATACAGCTATGGTGTCGTCCTCCTTGAGCTCTTGACAGGTAGAAAACCTGTGGACTTATCACAGCCACCAGGCCAAGAAAACCTTGTTGCATGGGGCCGCCCACTCCTCACAAGTAAAGAGGGTTTAGAACTAATAATTGATCCGGCTATAAAGTCTAGCATCTCATATGACAGCATTGCCAAAGTAGCAGCAATTGCATCAATGTGTGTGCAGCCTGAAGTATCTCATCGTCCCTTTATGGGTGAAGTTGTCCAAGCCTTAAAGCTAGTTTGCAATGAATTCGATGAAATGAAGGAGCTAGTATCAATAGACTGTAGCCAAGAGGAAGTTTCCATCAATATAGATAGCGATGCTAATAAACTTTCAGGTGAGCTTGTGGAAGTTTCACAGACTTTTCTCCCTATATATGCCTATCGTTTTAGTCATGATACCGGGACAGCATTATCAGCATCAGATTTTCTGAGTATGTCAGTAGAACCTGAGGAGCATGAAGCAGGAACATCTAGGAGGCATTCCCGTTCTGGACCCTTGAGACCAGGTCGAAGAAGGCAGTTTTGGCAGAGACTAAGAAGTTTTTCTAGAGGCAGCAAGAGTGAGCATGGGTTTTCATTCAACTTGTGGGAAGGATCACATTAAGATCAACGCAGGGGAGTCTCAATTTCTTCTCTTCAAGCAAGTCTGGCATAGATGTTGATGAAACCTAAAATATAGCTGTGGTTGCTGTGTTAATATTATGTGAATTGAGGGCATTGAAAAACTGGGGCAGCCTGGTTTTAGTGGTGCATTCCTGAGCTCATTTTGGTTCAATTCTTGGTATTCCTCTATATTAAAGAATTAGTTGTTTGTAACAACAATGTAATCTTCTCTGTGAAATGTAATGTCTTTTCTTGATATGAATTGAAAATGTGGAAATCTATTGTTCTTGATACTCATTGGATGTGTTGAATTTTTATCTTATTACTTAAATTTATAATAAATTTTGAGTTAAAATTAAGTTATGAGTTAAATTTGATGCTTGAAGAAAAGAGGAAAAAGAGGCTGAAAAAGAGAAGAAGAAAACAAGAAGAAAGCCAAAAACCCAGCCAGGTCTGGAGCACCCAGGCATGGATCCATTCAAACCCAGCTCCTACTCTCTAAACGACGCCATTATTGAATAATGAGAAGAAAAGGAAGCCTAAAGAGGAAGAGGGCCTGCGGAAAAACCCTATCTCCTCTCTTCCTTCAGCTAACCCCTCTTCCAATATGTCATTCAACAAAGATGCTGAAGCAAATCCTGCTTATTCACAGCTTTGTGAACCTATGAATGATAATCTGCTGACAACCAACACCAAGCTCTCTGGTAGAAAAGGAGTAAGTGTAGTTGATAAAATTCTGCATCGTCTCCTTCAAAGCGGTGATTCAGCTCAAAAGTACATACAGGGATCCAAAAGCACCAAAATTGACAATTGGATCCTTCTTGATAATTTTGTACAAGGATGTGGTGCTTATCCCGTTCATGGTATATCAGTTTTTTAGTTAGATATATGATGATACTTTGACTATCATAAAATACTAAAGATTTTTTTTGTGTCAACGCAAGATCACTCACCAAACTCTGTAACCAAATATCATCTTTTACTACTTCTGTTATAGCCATGTATTTTAGTCATTGTGGTAGACAAAACAACTGTAGCTTACAAAGTTTTCAATTCCAGCTGATAAACACTACTAGAAAGAGTAAACAAGTAATCTGTCAGATATCTCTTCCTATTCAGATCCCCTATAGAACTGGACTGCCACTTTTATTTGGAAAAAAAATACAAGGTGGTGCATTGAAAACATAACACGTTAGAAGTAGTGAACAAGTAGCAGATATACTCACTAAGGTTTTTGTCTGCAATAACATTGAACCAACACCGTTTCAAGATGGGAGCAGTTGTTTTAGGGTTTGCTCTCTTCGTGCAGGTAAGATTTCAGCTCAATGTCCTTTACTTTTCTAGTAGATTTTTCTGTTGTTTAATCATAGAAATTTACAACCTTAAGTTGGGGTGTAAAGTTGGTGAAGCAGGAAGTTTTTTGTATGTCAAACCAAATCTTGAGGGGCTTCCCGTAATTTGAAGATACATACTCATGTTGCTGGTGTGAGCCATTAAGAACATTGAGTAGTCTGTTTCTTTACAAATAATTCCAAATCAACCCGCTGTAAGTGCATGTATTATGTTTCTTTCCAGTGTTTAATCTATTTATTGTTAAATTTTTCCCCTCCCTTCCCACGAAAAAGAAAGACCATGTAATAGCTTCAATAATTGCTGCCAAGAACAAGATACATGCACTCAGAAAAGCTTAATACATACATAATATATATATAAATAATATTCCCCAAAAAATACATCTCAGTAGACGTCAAACCTTCTCATGTCTCCTCCCTTCTCTTTGCATGTTCACAGAGGACATAGAACATGGTAAAATTAATACATCAATATTTTCTTTTTCGAGTTCTCCTAGCAAGAACAAGGACACTAGTTGTTTATAACAACAAATATATATATATATATCACAAATACAAACCGGTGGAGACACTGAGTTCTCTTGGCAAGCCAATTTCTACATACTTTTATAAAGTGCTCCCTAAAAATTAACCTAACTATATTACATTTCTACTGCTACAAACTAATACTGCCAGTAGTCCTTAAAATCACACACCAGCTGCTTTTCCTAGTCTCTCTCTCAAAATCTTCACTCCCATGTACCTGCATATGAAATGCAAATATTTTCACATACATTATTTATTGCAATGTTTTCTTTATTTTGATCTATTTACTGAACGAAATTGAACAAAACGAACCGATTTAGAATTACTTTACCAAGCGAGTTTATCATATATCTCAGTAAGTTACCTGCCCATCATCATTATAGTGGCTTGAGGATTAGTCCCTGGTGACTGCTTAAACGTTGAGGGATCAACAATGCGGAGCCTGGGGACACCGAGGACCTTAAGGTCATGGTTGACAACTAGGCCTACATGACACCCGCCATGATAATGCCAAATTGTGATGACAGTGTCTTTGCAGAACTGCTCTATGGATCTGGTGTCGTTGGTATGCCTAGGTATGAAGTTAACATTTGCCTTGACACTCAAGTTAAGCAGCCTTTCAACCGTTTGCTTATCACATTGTGTGTAGTTTGTGAAGTGCTCTGACTGAACAATCTTTGCAGCAAGGCGAATCCCATCAACACATCGTTGAAGATCAAGTGGGTGGCTGAAGTAATTGAAGGCGACCGAAGGGTTATCTTCGACATTCGTTGTGATCAACTTGAGATGACCTGTGGACAACGGGTTGGCAACCTTTTCCAGAATGAAACCTCCCCTGAATGCTTCATGTGGTAGGTCTTTCTTCCCTTTGATGTAAGCTTGAATTGCCTCAGGTGTTCTTTGTTTGGGAGGAATGGTAGAGAGCTGCCCAAGCTGCAGGGATTTATCACGAAATTATTATCCATGAGAAAGAAAGATTGAAACTTAAGCAAAACGTGACCTCTAACGCAACCCATTTATTCAGCTTATTATACATAAATTTGTCTTAAGCCATGTTATGATTCATTTCTAATATCACCACGGTAAGCTGCATATTTGGATAACTACTTGATATTATGTATTAGTTGGTTCAGCATCTGTTCCAAGTTTTTACCAGATGAAAAATAGGCTTAAGAGCCACAAGATGGTAAAAGAATGGCAGTAGCATTTACCCCTCTATATGGTTTGATATTTTTTGACTGGATTGTGAAAGAAACTAAGCATATTATCCAGGTATAGGTCGATTAATTGCCCATATAGGAAAAGAGTCTCCTTTTTAGTAGGAAAATGCTTATTATTTGTTGTTTACCTCTGCTGACATGATGCCATGGTGACAGTGAATGCTTTCAGAGGACTGCCCAAATCCGCTGCTTGCTTCAATGTACACACCCTTATTGGTGATACCCACAGTTTGTATAAGGGATTGCTCCAGTGGCCGTTTAGAGGGGATGAAAACCGAGTTCATTGGGTTATCAGCCATACCTTTTCCGACATATTCATTGTCAAGTACCATTGAAATGTTGAACTTTTCAAGCTCTTTTTTGGGTCCAATGCCGCTTAGCATCAGCAACTGAGGTGTACCAATTGCTCCGCAGGACAAAATCACTTCACTGCCCGGCGTATTCCTTAGCAATGCTTGATGCTGTTTGCCATTTTCATCTTTGAATATGGCTCCCACAGCCCTTGGCCTCTTCCCTGCATCAGAGACACTACCTTATCTTCAGTTGAAACATGAACATGCCCAAATCATGCATTGATAACAAAATCTGCCACATTCCTTTATCCATGATCATATTTGATGCTTATTAACAAAACTTTATATGTATACCCGATGTGTCAAAGATAATTCGTTGAACTGATGCATAGATCAAGACAGTGAGCCTCTGAGGATTAGCATAACTGAGTAGCTCAGCAGCACTATGACGCCGACCAAACCTATCAAAGATGGTTCCACCAATCTTGGTTCCATATTTATGATCATATGTGAATCCATTGAAAGGTCTGACACCAACATCCAAAAGGCCATCTCTCACTGCTTTCTGCCAAAGAGCAAGCTTAGGCTGGTAAACAATCTGACTTTCAACCCATGGGTATGACTCATTTACTAGCTTTCTGTCCCATCCTACGCTCTTGATAAACCTGCAAAATGCTAAGAGAATGCATGTTTAACCAACAGTGAAATTGTAAATTTTATATTTACTGGGGCCGTAATGCATGGATAATTGATGTCAAGAGTAAAGATCAAGTTCAGAATCTGAAATTTTTCGTGTAAAAACTGGAAATGCAAACCAATCTTGATAATTACCCACATTTAGAAACCAACATGTTTAGTGATAAACTTCTGGTTTTCCAGGTGAAAGTTGAATGACTCGATCTTCATTCATGACTTTCTTTGGCATTAAAGTTCAGTAAAAGAATCTCAACCGTAAAAGAAATTACCAAGTCACCATTCTTAAACCCCACGAATGCCACAATTCAAGGCTTCAACAAGTAACAAAAACATTTGGTTAAAAGTAATAGTTCCTATGGACGAAAGGTGAAAGATTACAGTGCATTTGTAAAATCTGGACTAGAGTTTGTGTAACCCAACACACATAACCCATTTAGTCTCTACCACACAATACCTTAATCCCAAACTAATGAAGTACATGTTAGGGTTCAAGTTATACACTATCAATAAGTTAAAACTTGGCATGTTAATATTCTCCCTCATCATAGTTACAGGGAAGATGTTTAGTTGGTATGATAGGAAGAAATGGACTTGTCTATAAAGGAGACTAAACCATTTCTTAAATGACTCGTTTGCATATTTAGACCCATCTATTATAAATATGCACCCAATAGTTCTTTTCCTTCCATTTCTGGAAAAATGGAAAGAAGAAAAACAGTTAGGAGCAGATTTGCAGAGATTTTTTCTTTTGGGGGAAAAAAGAGTATATAAGAAAAAATAAGAGGGTCTATTCAACGTATCAGCAAATGAACTTTCTCATGAATCGTTTTAATGGGTGACCGCTGAAGTAGGTCTAAATCAGGACCGTTAAGACTAAAATCAGAAAAATAACAACAACCGTTGATCTTTATGACTTCTCCCATTGTTAGGGGTGAGTATTAGTGGTTCCGGATCCAATATTAGTTTGCTATCGCCACTTCATCATTCATAACTACAACTCACATCACGTCTTAATAAACCCACATATTATATGTGTGTGTGTATAAGAGCTATGATGATTAAGGGAACATACTAGAAGCTTACAGGTTGATGGCCAAAAATATTTTGTTATTTAACTCCCAGGTACTAAAAATTTTCTAATCATGTGTAAATACAAAAAGCAAATAATGATAATACAAGTATGTATATGGGTTATTGAAATAAATGACATACCGATGACCTGATCTGGAGTAGAAGCCAGCATTGATGCTCGACCCACCGCCCAAAACCCTAGCCCTTGCATTTATGACACCATCTGTAGAGACAAAGGCTTGTGATGCAGAAGTTGGTGAAGTGTCCGCCAAGCCAATGTGGAAGTTTTTGAGGAAGGAGACGTTTGCATTTGTGAATGGAACACCTCCTCTCTCCAACAATAACACACTGAAATTTTGCGAGAGAGTAGCTGCCAGAGGACACCCAGCTGTTCCACCTCCCACTATTATGTAATCATATGCATTATCTCCACCTTTTGACGAGAACGATGATGATGATGATGATGGTGAAAATGAGCTCGCCCTTTTTATAAATGGGTATTTGTATTCGTACACTTCCTTCTCACCTGCACCCATTTTCTCAGTTCATCAATCTTGGTTGATTCTGGTTGGCTTTGTGTGTGAAATGAGAATTTGAGAAGAACCCGCATTATAAGTTTAAATTTCCAGAAAACCCAAAAGAGAAGCCATGAAAAATGACGCAAATCACTAACAAAATTTCACCACTGGTATATTCTAAATCAAGAGAGAGAGAGAGAAAAAAAAAAAAAGAAACCATGAGTTTTGCATTCTGATCCCTTCATGAACTGAAAATTAGCCATGTAAACCATAAAGATGAGAGAAGAAGAGAGAATTAGAAACCCTTTGGGGAAAATAGAGAAGAGAGAAGACCTTGAGAGGAAGAGAGAATGGTGAGGAGACATAGAACCATAAACAGAAGCAGCTTCACTGTCCTACCAAAAGCCATTGATAAGCAGCAGATAAAGCACACAGAAACAATCTCCTTCTCTGCTTCAATACCCTCTACCTGGCTTTCACTGGTTGGCCTTGGTTTGTGTGTAAACAACTCTTAATATATACACATACAGTTTGTACTATAGCTAGATAGAGATTTATATGCGTATTAGTGCGGATGTATGTGTATATATGTATGTGTAATTATACTTTTGAAGAATATATTATACAGCAACAGTAGAACTTCTGAATGTATAAACATGTACTAGTAGCTTTAATTTCCACAAGGAACCAAGCTCTCCACCGAATTTAAGAGCTTCTGATACTACAACTGGTATGTCATTAATGGCGACATGAATGCAGCAGTTGGAGTAGGAACTTTTGGCCGTTAGATCAAACCTTCTCTGATTAAATCTTACCCGTCCAAACTGGTAATCTATGACAACTCATGCTTCGTCTACATCTACCAGCATCATTGTAAAGGTTCCTCAAATCACACCTTCAACTTTCTTTTCCTGTTGAACAGAAAGTAAGAAATCTTCAACTAAACTTTTTTGATTTGATTGAATCACAGTGAATTTGATCGAAATTTTCAATTAAATCCGAGCTATATATAGTTATTGATTAATTAAATTTTACAAGATACAAATACAATTTCTCTTTACTCCATAGTTAGATAATAATTAGTCTATTCTCCCGGATTGAGTATTACAATTCAATTTGGTGAGCTGAAAATTTCCTTCAGAAAAATAAGAAATTACAGTACAAAAATGTCTTTTCTTTTGCATGCACAAAATGTCTACCTGCAAAAACATATATTATTAATACACAGATGCGTGTGTGTGTGTGTGCATTTACATATACATATATATACACACCAACAGACAGAGACCAGTGTAGGCCAACTTGAGGATGAACATGATTGATCAACTGGGTGGGGTGACTAGAGATTTTTCTGTTGAATGGAGCAATAAAAACCCTAGTTCCAACCCCATTTGACTTTCTTGCATGAAATAAGACTACCAAGAAACCAGAACTTAATAAAGAAGAAACTGTTCTTCACCTAATAACGCAGCCAAAAAGATTTGCTTTGATTAAAGTTGAACGGACCACATAGTTTTTACATATAATTTGGCAATCTTTTTTTTTTTTTTTCAGAAATGATTTTGTGATGAACTTACAAAAGATTTTCAGCAATTTAAACACAATTATTTCGATTTTGAAAACGAACCCACAAAAGTTCATGGCTCATATTTCTACAAACATATATATATATATATATATATATATAAGTTGGTGAAAGCCATGAACACAAACTTATGGACGTGAGATCGAGTTAAAAAAGGAATTTTTCATGCACTACAATTGTGACCCACCAATTAATCAATCAATTTAATTATTGGGAAGACATAATTTCATGTTACTATTTATAGTAAGTTCCACCTTATAATTAATTAATTTTAATTATTTTCTATTTATAAAATAATTTATTATTTATTTATATTAAATATTACATTACATTTATAATTTAAAATATATTATTATTAAATATTTTAACAAAATTATAATTTTGTGTGTGTGTTTTTTTTTTTTATATATAATTACTACCTATGTTTCGTAATAAATTTATGAGAATTAAATGTGGACAGAGTACAAATTTAATTTAATTTAATTTAATACTATTAAAGCATTAGATGTAGGATTCTCGATCCAATTAAATATTAAGAAATCACAAATAAAGTACATGTTACCTACATGTATATGTGTGTATATATATACACACACCCACAACCCATTTAATTATAATGCGTATAAATATACGTATCTGTGCAGGAATATATATATATATATATATATGATAGATCACTATAAATTGTTTAACGAAAGAAATCTAAATTAATTGTAGAAAGTACCTCGTAAAATACCAAAACTAATGAAACTGTTTGGACCATTGGAAATAAATGTTTAAGATCATTTCCCCTTTTAAAATTACTTATATTTACATATATATATATATATATATACGTACATATATATATATATATGTTGTTTACAGTAGGAGATTGGGTGTCAAATTTGAAGTATCGATCCTTAGTACCTTCAAATTCAATTCCAACTGCTCCACCAATACTACTGTAATCTCCAATGCTTAGCTATGCACGTTGAAAGTTTTTGTTGCCACCAAACAAGGCATTAACATGTCAAGTTTTTTGTTTCTTGGATTGTCTTCTTTCTGCGCACCCAGCAATCGACAGCTGACAACCATTATATATACATACATACATACATATATATATATATATAGACATGTGTGTGTGTGTGTGTGTGTGTGTGTGTGTGTGTGTGTGTGTATGATATATGAAAATGGCTGAAATGGGGTGCACGCTGGCCAACTTCTCCATTCCCCCCAACACCCTCAATTTTAAGTTCAAGACCAAATGAGCACAAAGCACCAACTCTCAATTCATTTTTTGGGGTAAGGGGAGTAAATGGACACTGGACATATATACATATATACATATATATATATAGAGACAGTGATGTGTGTGTGTGTGTGTGTGTGTGTATGATATATGAAAATGGCTGAGATGGGGTGCAGGCTGGTCAACTTCTCCCTTCCCCCAACACCCTCAATTTTAAGTTCAAGACCAAATGAGCACAAAACACCAACTCTCAAATCATTTTTTGGGGGTAAGGGGAGTAAATGGACACTGGACATTTTAATTATGAGCTTACCCACCAACACATACATATATGTATGTATACATAATGGTGGGAAAGAGCAGTAATTAAATTCAAATGCATCACTGGGATCAAGAAGCTGTAGGGTCGAAAGAAAGTCATAAGTTGAAACATCTATTCAACATTCAAAAACCAAAGTAAATGAAGGTGGTGATACTTATTGAGCACCACCCAACTTAACCAATCCAGAGTAATGGCACCCACGAACCTGGAGTTTTCAAGTTCTATTCAAATTATTTCAGTAAGTAAAACAAAAGCACTAGTGGAAATTCATGTGTGTTGTAACTGTAAGAACCCTTTTAATCCAGGCATAACAATGCAATTATCAAGAACTCACCGGCAGAAACTGTGGATAGATATACAATTTCATGCGAAATTGAAACATATGTGCTTTCGAGATAAAATTCGAAATATATGATGTTTCAGTTCCACGTAAATCCGGTATGCACCTTTTCCTATAACTAGATACCAATGAGTTCCAACAAGTTAGAATATTTTCCAAACATAGTCTTAAAGTCCAATGCAAATGCCTGTCAATCCCCATATTGGTTTTCCTCCCAGACCCCGCTAATCAGTGTTTTATTTCATTTTTGTATCCTAATTGTCAAGCACATGGTGGAGAATGGATAAGATTAATCTCCTACTTCCTTATCTTCTATCCTTTTTTTTTTTTCCCCTGCCCTTTTTCTTGAGAGGGCAGTCTTGTTTCTTCTAAATTTACTTTTCTCACTCTTTATTTCTACATGCCAACAGGGTCTTTAAAGAGAAATTCAAACCTCCATATGTTGGGGAACCTTAGAGGGCCTTCAAAGGTCAGACTGGCATATCTGAATATTGAGCTTCAGAAGAATGTAACTCCTGCAACTTGAAAGCAATACGTGGCCCAATTCAATATCACGAATGAGTTACACCCATTTCTTTTCTGTCAGCAAGTCTAAATATCATAACTTACTGCACAGATTGGTAGATGAGTGAGTTAAGAAACTAGGCCCAGTGTCTTCTCTATCATTATGAGTCACTGACAGTAATTAACTCAAGCTGGCACCAATCAAGTTAAACCACACAAAGGTGAAGAGAAAAGGCTATATATAAAAAACCCTATGACACACCCAGTTATTTGCAAGAAATGAGTAGCTTCTTTGCAGCTTCTCCCAATAAAAACAATAATATGATGAATGGAGAGTACCTTTTAAAATCAGAAAAGCATTTTTCCAATTACAATACGGAAAATTTCCTTTTCAAACTAAAATAAAAAAGGGTCCATTAATGGTTCTCACTTAGATACAATCAAGCTTGTGGATACAATAATCACAGGGACAAATTTTAGGTGCATAATTGGCCATCAAGGATAAGGTAGTTAAAAAAATATGCCTAGTTGTTGATTAAACAAACCAATGAAAACAAAATTAAGGGAAAAAACTCAAAATCTAGAATCAGATATATGTAGACTATTAATGGGGCTTCTCCACATCAAGCCACAGCCCCCTGGTATACGGCACTTGCACAAAAATCAATGCCTTCAAGACCTAAAACTCTCACATGCTATCAAAAGTTGAAATACGTGAACCACACACGGTGTAGCACCCCACAACAGAGTGAGCAGAATACAGGCATCATGAGAACTTTTTTTTTTTTTTTGTTTTTCTGTAAAAAAGGAAAAAGAGAAAGCAACTGCCTGCTTTCAGGTTAACTTACTTCCTCTAGTCTTCTTTCAAGGGACTTGAGTAATCAACTATATTTTCTGATGAAGTTATCCCAGAGGAAGCATTCGATGAAAATTCACTGCTGGTGCTTTCACCATTCCTGATGCCTTTTGATGCAACTGGAGGGTTTCTGCCCGTGTTGTTTGTTGAAACTGTTTGCCCTTCCTCCGCTAGTTTTTTAAGAAGGTTCATAACAGTGGGAAGGAACTTGGTAGACAAGGATATAAGACCAGGTAGCTGCAAAAACAGACATGCATCAACTTTCATTTCCAGTTCAAAATAAAAATACCTTTCAAAAAATGAGTAAGGTACCGCACAAAATTTATATTCTTGTATACTACAAAAATGTCCTGTCTTACCTTTGGTAGCAAAAAGTGAAAGGACAAACCAGTACAAAAATACAGAATGATTGGAACAAAATTGTCCTATCTTTTTTATAGAAAAAATACGTTCAAGTGCTGGTACAGACTATAAAACTCTAAAATACTGAAATACTTACAATTTTTTTGTTTATACCCCTTACCTTTCATATGAAAGTTCAATTTATTATTTTATACTAATTGCAGGTAGGTAAAAAAATGATGTCACACGATTTAATAATTTACTACAATAACTTGAAATATTGTTTTATGAATGTAATGATTACCAATAATACAAAATACTTATCGAGTCAAGGGCATTGAACCTTTATGAATGGGTGAAGGTGGGGAGGAATGGTGAAGAGGTCAAAATGAGTCATTTATTCTCTGTTGATGATACACCATATTTTGTGAGTCAAATCCTAGCGACTTCCTTGGATGGAAGAGGGGTTTATTCTCGAAGAGGGTAATGCTCATTCTGATTGAAAGCTGAATGACTAATATCCCCATTTACTTCATGTATTTAGCCACTGATCATGTAAGCGTGGCAAAGAGATTCAAGATGATTCAATGCAGATTCTTATAGAAGGATTCAGAAGACGAAAAGAGATACCATATTATGGCATTGGGATGTGGTGAAACATCCTTATCATGAAGGTGGCTTGGGTGTGAGGTCCTTGATGGAATTCAACATGGCTCTCCCAGAAAAATTTTTATCTGAAGATTCACAAGAGAGGAAATTAGCTTATCGAGTGACTGGGGAAAACTTGGGGTGGAGAGGTTTGCATGGTTTACAAAAATTCCAATGAGAACCTATGGGCTTGGGTTGTAAAGAATAAGAGAGCATTTCACAGCTACATTTGATGGAAAATTGGGCCGGGAGAAAGTGTGAGCCGATGGAGGGACTACTAGATGGAAGGTGGAGCTCTTTGTTTGAAATTTCCTTCAATTTTGACATTGCCCGAGACAAGGACATCATAGTTAAGGAGGCACATCTTGGCCATGGTGTTCGGACTGTTGATCTGAACCAAAATTAAATGATTGGGAGGCGGAGAAGCATGTGAGGCTGCCCAGTACACTCGCGAAGGTGGAATTCTGAGGAAAACAAGGATGAACAGGTAGAGAGCCTCTGTCCCAAGGGACTCTTCTCAGTCAAGTCATATTACCAATTTTTTACCAGTGAAGAGGGATAATACAAGGGTCAACTTCTATATTTTTAAGTGAAGACTGGGGGGACCTTATTGATGTTTTGTTAAAACGTGTAAAATTTTCGTATATACGTTGCACCGCCTTGGTGCTTTGTGAATAGAAACACATTCGTTTATAAAAAAAATAATCAGCTATAATAGTTAGATTTGAAACACCACTATTTTGTGAGTAATTTATTAATATGAATAGTTCAATAGTCTTGTTAAAGAATAATTATAAAAAATAAAATACAATTATTTTAAAAAATTTTGAATCTGTATATAAGCACATATATTCTTTTTTATGTATGATAATTTTGAAATTAAACATAAGTTGTTCAGGGAGCATTTTAATAATCATAAACTGCCATATGCTTTGTTTATTGGTCACCAAATATTTAAGAGAACAAATTTATCCATCCAGTTTTTTATATGCCAAACCCGCCACTATATGTTGTTTTATTTTGTAGTATCATACTTACTTCATCTAGTTCAGTTTATTTATTTTACCAAAGGCTACCTAAGAATTATCAAAGTTACCAGCAACTCCAAAGCCGCTTATGTCTGATGTTCTAATCTCGGCGTCACTCAACATCAAATCTCAGATAGACTTTCTAAGCTCCAACAAAATCTTAATGTTCTAATCCTGGTATCACTCTGTGTTTCAAAAAATTGGCTCTTGCATAGACTTTCTAAGCTCCATCAACAAAATCCTAATGTTTTAAACCTGGTGTCACTCAGTGTTTCAAAAAATGGCTCTCGGATAGACTTTCTAAGCTCCATCAACAAAATCCTAAAACGCATACACAGAAGCATTGACTTGTTCCTTTTTCTACTGCAAAGCTACTTACTATTAAACTAGATTAAATGATTCTTACAACAAATAATTAACTTTAGAAAGAAATATCAGGGAAAACTTTTGTGAAATTAGAAAAGTTGAGATTTTTTCTGCTGCTTAATCCTTTCCATCCATTGAGATCTATGGAATCAGTTTAAATTAAAATTTCATCTAGCAGATAGAGTACAGAAAGACTCATATAAGGGGAAACAACGAATACTCACAGCACCGTGGCGGAATTCACCAGAAATGTCCAACTGCACCCAAAGAGCTTTGGCAAGTAGAAAGCCAACAAAGATGACGAAAAGATACAGAGGATTTCTACCACAAAAAAGAAACCGATGTAAGTAAAAACCAGTAATGGAAGGATATAACTAACACCAACAAAATCAATCCCTCATATAAATAAAAGATAACACCTTAAGAGTGTCATGAACTCATTGAATCCGAGGATAATTAAGGCAGCAATGGCCCATGGAGGTGGTAACCAGTTGTTATTACGTTTGTTAGCTTCCTGAAATTGAAAGACAAAGACACAAACAATTAAATTGATGTGGTACAGGAAATTTCTAAGGTCATATTTTAATATAAGAGATATTTATTAATTGTAACGTTTATGTAATTTTTAAAGTAGTTAGCTTATCTAGGAATTATTTATTATAGGCTCATTATTCATATTTAATTAGGATATTTTTTAGTTAGTTTTCTATTAGAGGTTAATCAATTACTTTTAGCTTATTTTCCTACATTCTAGATTTCTTATTTTGATTGTATTTTAGTGCCTATAAATAACATATCTTAGCTTAGTTATTAAGTAGACTATTCATGATTATTATATAAATATTATGTTGTTAGTTTGATTCTTCTTGAGATCCCGGGATCTCCCTTTGTCTCTCTTGTTCTTCATATCTGCCTAACATTCTTCTACTCTCCCTTAAAATCTTCACCTTTATCACTTATTGCCCTCTATCTATCTAGTTTCCTATTCTCTTCCCCATATTTTCTCTCTATTTCTCTACATTGTAGGATAAATGTAGTTCTATCATTACTTGTCCAACATCATAATATCTATATCTGGATTATTTAACCATAGGTAGTTCCACAGACCAATCAAACAAAATTAACAAAGATCAATAAGAAGCCTTCCATTCTTTGTATTTTTTTATTTTAAGAAACGTGAGCCCCCATGCAATCAATGCCAATAATTTGTTTTTGTATGTGAAATAAATAAGCCCAAGTATCATGCCTGTGCAGAAATTGCTTGAGTAACAGTATACTCTGTCTCTGCCTTGAACTGCCTCCACAAGGATTTACACTGTACGGGTGTGATCAATGTTTTTGATGATGGAACCTGCAGCGAAAAAATGCATAACAAAATCCTTTCAGTGCTTTAGGGTAAAGAAATCAATCCATTTCAACTAATGTGAAAAATAAATTCCATTGACAGTTAATGGAAAAAAGTAATGAATTGTTAAACCATTAAAACGTTTTTTGTCCGCGGTTCGAAATATCGTGCTTACCAGTTTAAACATTAATTAACATTTCTAAGAGGGCAACTAATCAAGTTTTTTTAATTCATTTAGGCTAGCACAATAACTAAAGACGACCATTAAAAAGGATTTCATATTTCTAATATACTGTGTTGTTTATAAACTTTTCTTCCTTCAACTTGAGTGAACAGCCAAAAATCCCAAAACAAGAAAGCAGGCAATCATTTAATTTACTTTTATGCACACAAAAAATCACCTGTTCCCAAGTGCTTGAAGCCAGTGGATCATATGCTATAATGCTCTTATTACTAGCAGTCGTGCTTGCAGAATCAACCAAAGCAAGAGATAATGTACTTTCAATATTATCGGCGTCACCATTCAAACGGATTGCAGCCATAACGGAGAGCAACTTTAAGGACTATAATGAAAAATCGAAATTAACAAAATCTACATGAAACTTTAAAGAAAAATGAATCATTATTTGTTAATATAAACTAGCACATACAGCAGAGCGAGCAGTCTTTGTAATTGCCCGAATATCTTCCTTCCCAGTCCAAACACGTGGCATTGAGTCAGAATCATGGCTGAATAATGTTGCAAACCTGATTGCATTTTTAAAGAAATCTCTATCAAGCAAGACCTTAAACAAATTAACCTTCAGTTTATTTTTTGCAACAAGATGCTACCTGTCCTTCATACGTATCAAAACCCTGGCAGCTTCTTCCTTTGCTTTTGTTTCTACCAGGCTTCTGGCATAATCCTCCAGGCTTTTAAGCATGTTATTTCTAGTTTCTTCGTCCATATCAAAACCAGTTAGTGAATTAGCTAGTCCAGAGACAGCTAATTCAGTTTCACGTTCAAGAAGCCTTCTTATTGCAGCCCAGGTCTCATTATTAGCTCCATCTAGGAGAGCTTCCACAGGTCCTGATAACGACTCATTCAATGTTGACTGCAAACCCAATATTTTCATCAGTATGTTTCCAGGAATGGCTTATATTTCCAATTGTATTAAATTGAGTGCCTATTGGACAAAAATTGTCAAATTCTGGAAACAAGATCCTAACTTCATGCAGCATGTTCCAAGAACTCTCCTGGAGATCTAAACAATATAATAAACATACAGAGAGAGACACACACGTAAAAGATCTCTATAATTTTTAATCATACCTCATACTGTGCAGTCAGTTCAGATAGCTTTGCAGTGCGGACAGAAACAATATGGGCATCGATATCACGCCTAAGCTTATCCCGAAGTTTAGATGTATCCCAGTTTGCTCGTCCAACAACAGTATCTGCAATGCATAAACAAGAAAATTATGCCCAGTAGGAAAAGTCTATCGAACACAGACTCTAGCCATTTGGTTATTCCAATATCAAAATATTTCACTAGCTTAACATGTTAATGCAGTAATGAACCAGAAACTAAAACTGACCGGACAGATTGTGGTAAAATAGAAATTATACAATTAAATTAGTTGTTATCATCTTAAGCATCGAGGATGGTCAATTACCCAACTCTATCCTACCCTATTATACCTGGTAGGAAAAAGTCTATCGAACACAGACTCTAGCCATTTGGTTATTCCAATATCAAATTATTTCACTAGCTTAACATGTTAATGCAGTAATGAACCAGAAACTAAAACTGACCGGACAGATTGTGGTAAAATATAAATTATACAATTAAATTAGTTGCTATCATCTTAAGCATTGAGGATAGTCAATTACCCAACTCTATCCTATCCTATTTTGATTAAAATTAATTCTCGGAACAATGTACGATGAGTTTCTGATTAAAACTAAAACTGACCCGCCTTGCAATTCTTTCATTTTTTTCCAAGAAAAACCATACCTGCACATCGTTCATCAAACATAGTCATGTAACATTGACTACAAGTTTGAGCAGCAGAAGAAAATGCTTCGCCTCCATTCAAAGCCTTATCAAAAGCATCCTTGAATTTGTCCAGGGCTCCAGATCTTAAGTGGCCCAATACAGATTGGAAAGCTGGTTGGACAAGCTGAAAAATCAGAAGGGACAAGTTAAAATCAGAAGGAGAGAAGCAACAGTCAACAAAAAGTAAATTCATGGCAAGTTTAATAAAAATGGATCAAAAGTTCATTATTAAAGAAAGGACATAATTTGTGACTCAAACATCTGGATACAGTTGTACCATGATTTCTCATATCAAACATCCAGATACTTCCATCAGTCAAAAAGAAAAACAGGAGCTAACTTCCACAGAATGAACATGAGTTTTGAGAAGATGTATTACTTGCAGTAATTTTTCTTCAAGCTGCTTTCTCTTTGCAGATCTGACGCCTTCATCAAAATATGTAGCCTCTGCATCATATCTACAATGAAAGAAATTCAATTCAATAAAGACAGTGGACAGGAAGCAGCAAATACTCTGAGAGATACAAATGCACGCACGCATTTACGATATATAGTATGCATGCAAGTCCGTGTATGCACTTATGATGTGTGTATAAATAGATGGGATTTAGCGCATGCATGTGTATGCGTGCGGGGGAGTAGGGGAAGAGAGAGACAGAGAAAGAGAAAAAGAGAGAGAAAGCGAGAGGTAATTCAAAGGACTAGGTCATAAACTTTGTTGCACCTAAACTTTTTCTTTTCTTAATTAGGTATATTGCACCAATTATTAGTACATCTCCAAAGTCCTTTTGCAAGTTTAGCATATCACTTCTCTAAAGGTAGTACACACTTTGGGCCGTACTTACTCTGCTAAGCATTTATCAAGGATTGAGCTGAGTTTCTTCCCAAAGCCAGGAATCGGGCCAGACTGAGCATCTTCTTCCAATTGTTGCCAGTCCTGTAAATAATTTAAAGCAACTAGACAGTTTCATATTTGGATATTAAATAAATATACCTTGAGGAAAAGGGAAAAAAGGGTCAGCATACCTCATTTTCAGTGAAAAAGGCATACTTCTCATTGGCAATTTCTTCACAGCGAACAGTTGCCACCATGACCTAGAAATAGAGCCATCATAATGATATGAACAACACGAGTGCATAACTTAATAAATGGCCCTCATTAAGTAGACTTTTGCATGGTAACCTTGTGAGCTGGAAGGTCAAGGTCCTTGTTCTCCTTGATCACTTTCCATATTTGCTGTGCACTGAATGAAAACCCTGAAGCTGGAACCACACCCCGTCGGTCTCCAGCAAGTCCACCAGGAGCAATAGAATGGAAGAAACGCTCTCTCAAACTAGCAACCTTCATTTACAAAAAAAAAAAATTCACTACGCAAAGACAAACATCAAAGAATGCAAAAAGATTATTCCAGTGACAGGTCAAACTGGAAACAAAACAGAAAAGAACCTAAAGCATTTAATATCTGCAGAAATTGGATGCAAAAGCTAACACAAATAGGAATTTCATTACAAAATGAGGGCCAGCACTTTCAAGGAAAAAATGAAAATACATGTAAAATTTTGCTCCATCGTTAAAAAGACAGAATTAATGCCTGGATTCCAAATATTCCTAAGATACTCAGATAAATTCACCTGCTCTTTGAATTGCTCTTCCTTTTCCTCAAAACTGGAGAGGGCAACTACTTCAACCTGGCCATTACATCAACAGCAGCAACACAAAATTAATATAAAAACTGGAGTCGTTGGTTGATATCGATACGAAGAGTAATAAAAATATTAAGACTGGATCTCCCCTAACAAACATGACAGAGAGACTAGTCAAAGAATTTTTTGAAGAATTAACTGACATCATACATTGAAAAATTCACTTAGCGGAGTTTCCTTGTGGGCTTGTGGTTTAGGAACAGAGTCCCATATCTGTAGACAAAGGTCAAAAAGGTTACCACTTAATGTCATGAGATAAAGAACAGAGGAGCTAAATATCCTTCTTACCTTCTGAATATCTTCTCTCAGCACAGGTTCTAGATTTTCCAATGGTGTCTGTACAAAAAAAATGCGATAAAATGTCAGTAGATTAGTGAGAGCCTAGTGCCAAAATGAAGGATTAATGGATGCTAAGAAGGAATTACGGCAGCAAGCAACGATGTATTGGCATGCTACTAATAGAAAACAATAGAACAAAGAGACATACCCGTGTTTTATCCCTTATGACAAACATCAAAGTAGTTTTACGTGGACTAAACAACCGCATCATAACCTGTTAGCATATGGTGCGACAAAGTTAGCAAATCAAAACTTCAGGGTTCAGATTAGCATAAGACAAAATAATCATAGCATACCTGGAATACAGTCTTTAAGAGAGGCTTATTTGCTGCTTGCTCCCGGCCTATATCATGGCACCACCTAAATCATAAATTATCCAAATGATTACTCAGATAAACAATAGAAGGCCACCTCGCAGAATTCTAATTCCAATAAAATATTAAAATACTTGTGCACCATCCAACTTATGCAAGCCACGAAAGCAATAAATAGTAACTTACATGTTTATTAGCACTATGTCTGAAACAGCAAGGGCAAAGAGAGCACTCTGCTTTTCAAATGCAGTATCATCCTGAAAATAAGAGAAAAAGCATATACAACCACTAGTTATCACCTTGATATTTTTTTTTTCTTGTCAAGTTTAAAAACAAGAGTTTCTTTGACTCGGGGTGCTTATCACAATACAGAGTAAATAGTTCTTTCAAACTAAAGATAAAACTTAAAAAAATGACTTCTATGATGCAGGAATAAGTTGACTTAAGCCGGAATATTATGATGCAGAAATGAGGGGATTTGAGCCAGAATATATATAAAAATGTCCTTGAATAATAATTATCCCGTGCAGAGTATGAAAACCACTATACTGGAATTTAATCAACTAATCCACAAAAACATGAAGTTTTATGCTTTAGATCAAACAATGGGAAATTAAAACATAGGGGTAGCAAAACAAAAACTGCCATCTCTTGGTGCCAAGGATTAGCATATGCAACATGACTCTATGCACATGAAACAAGGGGGGAAAACCTAAGTTACATTATTAGATCAACTGCATCTGAAAAAAGGCATCTCCCAGTTATCAATCTCCATGTATGATTGTCCAATTCCAGAATTACATAGACAAGAGTTATAATCACTGAAAGATGATGCGAATATCTAAAAACCCATTTCTATCTAATAAACACAACATGCTTAAAGCGAATTTTAGAAACCACGTATCTGAACAGAATGTCATTCCATGGTCAAAACGAACACTTTTCTGATCCATGGCAGAAAGATGCATTATCATTAAATAATCTATGGCATTAGAATATGTAATTTTTAAATAAACTTTCAAATGAAATAGATCATAAACTTTATGGGAAGGAGTGTATTACATGCGCATGTGAATATATCATGCTAGGTCTACATTGAAAAGGAACAAAAACAATAAAAACTAAATATACATCAAACAAGTGACATAAAATTGAATGAAATTGAAGGAAGCTATGAATATGAGCATGCAAAGGCACCTCTCCCCGTTCTCTTCCATCAGTACCCTCCAAGTCCATCACCAGCGTGCATGGTTCAATACCAGCACATCTTGCCAACCAAATACCTTTAGTGGTTTGAGACCTGAAGACAAGCATTCTATCAGTCATCCAACATCCAATTAAAAGCTAAGTAATGTGTACAAGAGTGTCAGAAGAACATGAACATGCCTTCCTTTAAATGCATCCATTTCCCTAAAGTTTGTTCCAAACAAATGATTCAATAGTGTACTCTTTCCTGTCAATATCAAGGAAAAGATGTAAAGCTCTTCAAGTACTGTGCACTATGATCCAAATCAGAGTAACAAAGCGCTTATAAAACATAAAATAAATAAAAAAATTATCACAAGTTCAAAAAAAAAAAAGAAGTGTATATCCTCACAGTAATTACTTATCAAGGACCGGAGTGAATTAAATTAAACGTAGAGGCAACCAGATAATCAGGTAGGAACTAAGGCTCACTCTACTATGCTAAAGCATATACAAAACCTATGACTTTATCAGAAACCTTCTTCCTGCTGACGACACTCCCAATAAATCAGCACAAAATCTACGCTCATCTCCTTTCATATCATTAACAATTCCCAGCATCCTACGGAAACAAATTGATAGAATATGTAGGAAAAAATGGAAACCTAGCACTATTCTGTTTTTCACAGTAGTCATTTAATCTTAAGCTATTATTGTAGCATAAAATACATTTCTTTAAATATGACACTTAGTCTAAGAAGCGTCGGCAAAATGCTGAATGAACGAAAGGAGATAACAAATACCACTGCTCTGTGGGCCCATTATGGAGACCACAGCATATGAGAGTCCACATTCCCCCAGTTTTACTTCCTTGATAAAATTATCTATCCCATCAACATTAAATGCACCATCTCCATCAATAAGCTGAGTCGAGCAACTCTGATGATTTTTTGCTGCAATTAAGCAGAGTAATATATTTGTTAGTGAAAGCTTCTTCTAAATTACAGCTAAAATATAGGTGCGTTGAGCAGGTACCATATTGAAATGGATTCATTTACGTTGTTCCCTTACTATCACTTCAAAGAACATGACACAGCCCATTCGGGCTTTAAGAACAAGTTAATGATAAGGGTATCATTTTATCTTACTTAACAAAAATGAAAATTTTAGAACAGATGATGCCACATTCACAGTCAAGCAATTTATCCCTTCGAACCATCACCAATCCCTACCTAAATTTTCTGATACAAAAAAGAAGTGCACGGAGGTACCATCATTACATTATTGGAATCGAAAAGTATAATCACCTCAAACCTACAACATACCGACAATTCAAGATTTGATTTCCATTTCTCACTTCTCTCGCCCTCCCCTCCCATTTTCCGAGCAACCAAACAAACGAAAACTGGAACAAACCACAATCCATTTCCCGATCTAAACAAAAGGCAAGTTTCAGCTTAGTTTACTATTTGGATAGAGCTTAATCAGTTGAACAAACCTAAAAGCAACACAAATAATCGCAAATCAATCGCGGCCGAATCAAATACGAATCACAACCCCGTCGGAATTAACAGAACACCCATGCACATATATATACATACGGCAACAATAAATATCCATTTCCGTTAATTAGCAAAGAGCGAGTTGAAAACAATCACGTCCCACCATAACGTAAACTGAATTGACAAAATTTATGAGAAAATAAGAACAACAACAAAAAAAAAAAAAACGGATCATTAAAGATTGGTATAAATTAACAATAGGGTAGAATTAGGAGACAAGAAGGGAGTACCCATTGATTGCGTTTGGAAAGTGATAACCGTTGTTAGATCAGCGAGGGCGAATCCGAGAGAGAAAGAGAAAGAGAGGGAGAGAGAGAGAGAGAGAGAGGGAGAGAGATCTCAAATGGCCATTGAAGCTTTGTTGTTTGTGTTCTTTAAAAGTGCGCTTGACTGGTCCTACGATCGAAGCATGAAATTTTTTTCCATTAAAGCAGTTTCTTTTGCTTCTGATTTTGGGTAAAAGATAGTAAAAAAAATTTTGTTCTTCCACGTTGGCGTTCAAATTCAACCCTGCGAAAATCAGGGATTAAAAATTTCTTAGTTTAATTACCGTATACTTTATAATAAAATATTATATATTTTTTTTTGAACCTCCGTTCTCGTATTCGAGTGACGAACGATCTCCATCAATTTCTCACAGACGATATCACGAGCATTTCTCGATTCAAAACGTACATGACGATAATTTAATTTTTAAAATTATATGAACTCCAATAAATTTTTATTGATAGTTGATATTATAAATATTTTTTAATTTAAAATGTGTTTGAAGATTTTTTTAATTGTTTTTTTTTTACTTTTGAAATTAAATAAATTGATACATAATTTCTCGTATCTTTTTATGGCTAATATATAATGATATACACACCATTATTTGTACTAAAAATTAAAGTTTCGTACATTTATTTAATATTAATTTTTAAAAATTAATAAAAATAAATTTTGTTTATTTATTTATTTATTTTATGTTTTTTTTTTTCCCGAATGCGAAAAAAGCCAAATTTACCTCGTTTAGTGCAAAATTTGGGGCACGGGGATTTACGAACGAGGCTATAATCAAGTGTGTCGTGCACTCGTGTACTCCGGTACGCCCGTCGTACGCGTGGAATTACGTGATTGGCTAAAGGGCACGACCCGCGACAAACGCAGGAGTTTGTGGTTCAACGGTGGAGGAACGTAGATTTGGTCAGTCACGATGTGGGGCCCGCGAAGCATCAGAGTCCAACCGACTCTTGAGGCCCCACTGGCCGCCCATCAACGCTTTACAGAAAAAGTGGACGGTGGGATCGCCGCCTTGCTTTCGCGCGTCGTTTACACGCTCGTTTTTTATTTTGGGTGGTGACTCGTGGGATGGTCCCACACGTGCGTCACCTTTAATAGTTTCCTAAGGCCAACATTCCCTCACAGCACTTATATATATATATTTATAATATGATAATTGTCACCATAAATTTTATTTTTGATAAACCAAGAAAATAAATAAATATATATATATATATATATTATTTTGAATCTAATATCGAATATTAAATATCGAAAATTCATGTTAGTTTTTCAAAGTTAAAAATCAGTATTTAACAAATATTCGAGTCAATAATTTTATCTCGTATCTGTTTTTTAACAAAAATATGAATTTTATTTTTATTATTTAGTAAAAATATAAACTCTAATTTTAAAATAATTATAAAATTATTTATCTGTCATCTGTTATGTAGGATTCCATTTATATTTTCGTTAAATTTAAAAAATTTGTTACGAAATGTTTAAATATGTAATTAAAAATCTTAAATATTAATCGAAATAATCTACTAAATTAAATAAAAAAACAGATAAATAATATTAATATTTATTAATCATAAGTTGATTAATTTGAATATGATTAAAAATAAAAAAAATCGTTAACTATATACATAACGAGAGAGAGGGTGGACGTGAAACATGTTATTATTAACTTTATACTCGCGATAAATTATGACTTATTTTTTTACACTTGTATCGTATTTTAATAATTACGAATTTTTACATATGACATTAGTATTATTGATTTATGATACATTCATTATAATAAATCATTATAAACGAGAGTAGTGAGTTTTTTTTTTTAATTATTAAACTAATGTAAATGAAGTAATAAATTTCGAGAACCACTTAAAATGGACGGACTCCTACAATTCAACTAACACTTAAAATATTTATTACACATTTTTTTATTATATTGTCGTTAGATTACTGAACGTAATTTAAATATTACTGAGATTTAAATATTTATTATATATTTTATTCTCGTACTTAAATATTGGTTATATTATATGCTCTATACTATTTTTAATTCGATAAAATATTTATATAGTTTATATTTGCCAATAAATATAATTTACATTTACGATTTTAGGGCATGATTGACACTATTCGGCTCAATCACGCTTCCGGCACGCTCCAGCTTAATCGGAAAACGACGTCGTTTCCGGCGGATCAAAAGCACACGCCCTAGAATCCCACTACGGCCACATTCACCTTCTGTTCTCTCGCTACTCTGCCGCGGCAACCATCGTATGACTAGGCGCTGAACGTGACGATTTCTCAGGATTTGAATCGAACGCCACTGCGATCATCTCTTCGTTTTCAAAGCCAGGTAGCCACCAAAAGAATAAGAATTCACTGGTTTCTGTTAAATGAAGCTAAATTGACCTATTCTGTTGTTATAGCCTGAAACTATCAACCTCCTATCCACTGGGTATGGGTTCTATTTGCTTCCTTGTGTTAGTACTTGTATTGTTTTGAATGGAATTTGAAAGAAATGGAAACTGGGTATTTTTAGAGATTCGAGGAAGAAAAATGGGTTACTTGAAAAAAAAAAGGGGGTCAGCTTCAACTGAATCCAAGTACTTAGGCATCGGTTTGGAGTATTACCGGTGTGTTCTTGAGGTTATCTATTCATGTATGATGAATGATTGTGTAATTCGAGAACCAGATTAGATACCTCTTTGCTTGTTCTTTTTCTTTAGCCCGGAGTGGTTGTTGGATTCTAGATAATGCGGTCTACCAACTGTTCGAGAAAAGATGTGAATGAAAAACACTTACAGAATCGTTATTTCAGAAAAAAAAAAAGAGTGTTCAATAATTTCTGTACAGTCATTCAATCATTTCGAACTATTTTTTCCTTCAATCTTTTCACCATTTGTCTGTTATCTGGCCGTGTTTTTTTTCTCTTATCTTTTCTTTTTTCTTACGATTTATATGGCAGGACTAGTATTTAGTTAATGGAGTTTATATTTGTAATACAAGTTAATTTTTTTTTTTTTCACTTTTACCTCCTTAGATTTATGGTCGTCTCTTTTTGGAGATCTAAACCTGTCTTTGCTTCCCCTGTCACCCAAGCACATTTAACTTTCCTCTGCACCAGAGTAATTATTTCTACCTCTGTTCCATCTTTCACTTCTGTTCATTAACCCCCACTTCGATGGTGTTGCTTTAAAGACCTTGACAACAGAGCTAGAGAGATCCTAGGGAACTCTGAAAAGGAAAATACAACTACTAATTTAGCCAAACTAATTGCATGTCTACATTTCTACTTCTAGTGTAGATTGGTAGAAAATGAAACATGATTATTTGTTAATTTGTTTCAAAAATCCTATTTGCTCCTTTCAAGTGATGTTCTTGGATATCAAATGTTTTCGTTGGGGTCCTATTTTATGATTTGGTTGCACCTGAAAATGAGCATATTAAAAGATTTACCAATCAACTCAAAGTGGAAATAGTTGGTAGAAAGAACATTGAGGTGAAAATTTATTTTTGTCTTTCAGTTTTATTTTTCTATATTTTACTTTTCTAGGTCTATTCAGCCATAATGGACAGTTAAGTTGGTCAATAGTATTGAACCCATGCAGCATAGCTGCAAAGCAATAATACGTGTCATAAGAGAATATTTCTGCTTCAATGTATATAATTCACGTGGATGTGTTTGTCTGTATGTGCATGAACATGTTTTCTCAGGGATGCCAATGTCATTCTATGTGATGTTCACAAGTGTCCAGATATAACTTCATTTGCACATCTCATTTATGTTTTTACTGGACAGTTGTGGCTACCTTTTTGGATGAAAACATTTTGTTGACTTCTATTATAATCAATTATGATCACTTATTGAAAAGGTTTTTCTTTTGGTAAATAGTTATACATGAGAAGTCTTTGATCTATTAAATTCATTTTTTCATATGCTTCCCCTTTGCATTTTGTCTTAGTTCAGTGATCTGAAAATGCAGAATTGTCTAAGCTTTTTGTGGTGTGTCCACGTGCCCTTGCTTCTGCAAATTTTAGTTATTGATCCCATTGCAACGAAGTTCACTATGGTTAAATGAATTAAGGCTTGAAACTCAAATTTTACTGACACCTTGTTTTACTTTTCAAAATCTTCTTTCTGTTCATAGCTTAAACTCAAGTTTTTTGTTTTGCCATAGCCTTTTGACTTTACTAAATGTAGACATAGAAGTTCTGAGCATTAATATTCAAGATGTTTACCTTATCTTCTTTTCTTTCCACCCTTTTTACAGTTGAATTTGAAATTCTTCTGGTGGCTGTTTCAAAGTGCAATAACTGGTATACATTCACACACAGAGAACATGCATATGGACAGAATTCATTTCACATAGTTATGATCATTTATTGACAGCAAACACATTATTGCAGGTCCAAAATCTTTTGATGTAAAAGATGCCTCACAGAACCCGTCCAATGACAGCGCTCTTGGTTTTCACTGGACTCAATTTTGTTTTGGTCTCAACCATCACTCCAGTTTATGATTTCGTGTGTTTCCTTCCCTATTGGGAAAGAAGGGTTCGTATTCTCATGTTTCTTCTATAACTATAATACATATTCCTCTCCTTGCAGATGAATAATCTATTGTTTGTATAAGAAAATGTTATTGTTGGCAGCTTCTCTTCTATGTTGTTCTAAAAGAAGTTCCAGTTGGCATGTTTTATATGAATGAATAACACTCAATTCTTCTCCTCAAGAAAATGTTATCTATCCATTGTTTAGTGTGATAAGCATGGTATTTCAGCCAAAAATTCCAGGTTTTTGCTCAGTAATAAACACATTGAGGTGGATCTTGAAGGAGTATGCACTATATTTTTTTTTTTAGAAATGAAAAGTAGAATAGTAGTATTAGTATGAGCACCGGGGGTGCAAATGAACATGTACAATTATTTACAGCTTAGTTCTCCATTCCAGTAATCTTCCTATAAGTCTCAAAAGAAACCGGAGGATGACTCGTAAGCAAAAAATTAAGGGTACTAAACCATTTATTCTTCAGTACATCAAAATCATTAGTGTCATCAAGACCCTCAAAGGCCCTACTGTTCCTAACTTTCCGCACAGTCCACAAACATGGTATGACAAACCGGAATATGCACTATATTCTCTTTAGTAAATGTCATCTGTCCGTTGTTTAGTATGACAAACATGGTATATTCAGCCAAAAAAACTGCAGGGTTTTGCTTAGTAATAAATTCATTGAGTTGAAACTAAAAAGATCATGTACGTATGTTATAGTGCTATTAGTTTTTATCTTGTTGGCTTGTTAGCAGTGAACTGTCCATTTTTCTGTTTTGATTGTTAGCGTGGTTAATTAGACTTTCATGGAACTGAAATGAAGAATCTGAAATGATAAATAGACGTTCTTCATCGATTTGCAAACATTTGCTCATTATGTGTAGGTTGGTTTTAACTGTTTTTCTAAGTACATGATTCAAATTGGAAATGAAGAGTAGGTTGTTTTTCCTGTTAACCGAAGCTAATAAGTGGGGTGGGACTCATGCACTCAAATCTTTCTAGTATTAACTACTATGCATATATTACTTATTTCTAGGTTGAAAAAATCAAATGAGGCTCTTTATAGGGCGAGGTCCATCAATAACATAGCACTTCTAAAAAGAGTTCTAGGAAGATTGTAGATGAAGTATGAGCAGTTCCATATACATGAAGCGTGATGTGGAGGCAACAAACTTTTTATTTCCTTTTTAAGTTGTATTTGTCTCAAGTCTGTTTAATTCTCTTTTTTTTTTTCCTAAATCTCAATTATTTGATTTATAGAATCTAGTTACGATTTATATACTTGATTCATATTAAATCAACTGGGCTAGTATCTCCAATCTAAAGTAGTGGGTTTGAATTATCACTTGTCAAGAAGGAATCACATAAGTACCCAACTTGAATTGGACATAAAAATGATTTAGAATTAGAATGTTATTTTCTTTCAAAATTTCATCTCACTTGTATTGCACTGTCATTTTCTTTCAAAATTCATCTTACTTGTATTGTATTGTCATTCATATTCCATTGAATTTGAATCAAACTCAATCTTAGGGTAATTCTCTAATTTTGATAACTAACTAGTCTTTACTATTGTAATTTTTTTCTTGAAATAAAAAGTGTATGATATATATTGATATCAGCACCAAGGGGGTGCCCACTCATGTATAAAAATTTACAAATCAATCAAGGTGTCAATAAAGTTCCCAAAATCCTTCATCTATTGAAGAGAATGACCTAGTAACAAAAAACTAAGGGTTTAAAACCATCAATTATTGAGTAAATCAAAACCATCAACATCATCAACCCCATCAAAAGCCTTTTGGTTCCTCTCCTTCCATACAATCCAAAAGATAGTAAGCGGTATTAGCCCCGCTTGTTTTCTTCTTCCTCCCATACCCTTTGACGCCCAAATTTCATCTCTCATTGAACTTGTCATTACTCGTCAACACCTAATAGACTATAAACCAGAGTCCAGAGCTTGTAGACCATAGAACACCAGAGTAGAACATGGTTGCAAGTCTCCTCAGCCGAAATTACTATTATAATTTATTGGACTGTATTTGTACATAATTTTTCTTTTGGTGGAGAAAAAGGTTCTAACTGTACTAAAGATTTTTTAGTCTTTTAAACTGTTTTCTTCTGCAATTTTTTGAATTGTAAATTACCATGACCGCAATATGTATGGAATAGATCTTTTCAGATCCCAGTAACTACTGTGTTGAATTCAGATCCGTTTACTTATCATACACACGTGTCATTATCCAGAGTGCGGCTTTACTTGCCCAGTTACAGTACATTTGATGTCAATTATATATACAATCTTCTTGTGGTTAGCTGACGAGGTACTACACATCTCCTTTTCTAAAGCTAACTAATCAATTTTCCGATATTGGATTTGTTTCAGAGAGAAAGGCTTCATCTGGAACATGAAGCTGCTTTGGCAAAGGGTTCAAGGTCTTCATAAGAATGTGTTTGAAAACAGATCTACTGGATGATCAGTTCTGTTATTTCAGTATATCTTCAATGGTAAAGATTAAAGATAATATATGTTAAGTGGATTCTGCGCAGATACTTGAATATACAACTAACAAAAAACTACTAATAAGATCCAAAAGAATTGTTAGTGCTAAAAGTATGCATTAAGCAGACATATCTTTCAAGTGAATTTCAGCAACAGCATGTTAGTTGGAAAAACCAAGCACACAAAGCCCAGTTTTCTCTTATCTGCCTCTTATTTGTCTAAGTTTCTGATTCCTTCCACAAAACCAAAGACTTCTTCCGTACCTCTGATTCAAACCATAATACCCCTACCACAGCCATGCTACCCAAGTATTTCTCTGGATTCTGTCACCTACACAAAGTTGATCCAGTCCTCTTCCAAATCAGGGTCTTCAATCCTTGGCAGGCTTGCTCATGCCCACATTGTCAAGAGTTCCTTTCAACCATGTCTGTTCTTGCTAAACAACCTTCTTAATATGTACTGTAAGTGTGGAGAAATGGAGTTTGCTCACCATTTGTTTGATAGGATGCCTAAGCAGAATGTGGTTTCATTTAATTCTTTAATATCTGGGTATGCCCAGAAGGGATTCCATGATCATGTTATGAATGTTTTTGCTGAAGCAAGACTTGCTGGTTTAAAGCTCGACAAGTTCACTTTTGCTGGTGCCTTAAGTGTGTGTGTTCAATCTGGTGACATTGAGTTGGGTAAGTTGATTCATGGATTAATTATTGTATATGGATTAGCTAAGCAAGTTTTCTTAACGAATTTGCTGATTGATATGTACAGTAGATGTGGACATATTGACCAGGCTAGGTGC